GTAACATTAACTAAAAGACGAAGTATAATACTCGTACGTATTTTAAACGTAACTTTCCCGTAACGTATTTTACTAACTATTAAGTCATAACATAATGAGATTTCCATAAATTGTATGCACATTGTGAATTATTCAACTGGACATGATATATTCTCTAGACATATAATGGGTGCCCGTCAATCAGCAACCATGCTGTGGAGGCCCATATAAATTAGAAGTTAGAACCCTTTTGTGCTCTAAGGCCCGTACGAATTAGAAAGAAAATGACCAAAGGCTCCCTCCGTGGTTTGCGCAGGAGCCGAGAAAAGTTGAAATAAGTGGGTGCTGGAATAGAATCTCCATATATTATTGGATAAGATAAGGTAAGACATGCAACTCAGTAAGCCAAGAGAATAAAATTTCAACCAAAATTCCAAAAACTTACCTTTTGGAAATATATAGATCGAAATATGGTGAAACCAAACTTAAAGAGTCAATATATAACGCTTTCATATTTTAATAGGTTTTCTTACTTTATTATTACATTATTTGAACATTTTGAGTTATTATAGGATTAATTTACTATTTTATTTAAGCATTATCAAGTCTTTGTTCAAATATATTGACAATCATGAACAGACACAAAGCAATGGTGACTCTGACATCTTAATAGGTGGTAATGGAAAACAACCACAAAATCAAGGAAATTCTTACGTAACTTTCATTTATATTGATGAGATTAAAGCATTTCCAGACTGTCGCTACATAACATCAGGTGAAGCATGTTGGAGAATTTTTAAGTTTGATGATAGATGTAGTTCACCTTAAGTGTTGCGTATGTCATGTGCCTAGGGAGAATAAAGTAGTAACGAAGGAGAACCAAACAGTTGAAAACAAAATTGAAAAAAATATGACTGCTATTGCCATGGATGGAAATCAATGTTCATTCTTCTGAGGCGCACAAATATACTTTGTGGAGTTCCCTCAATGTTTCATTTGGACCAGAAGGTGGCAGATGAGGAAGAACAAAGTGTGTATTGAAAAATTATATGATTGTCCTCCATCAAACAAGGACATATTTTATCTTCGTATGCCGCGACATTTTGTCAGAAGTTGTGATTCTTATGAAGAAATTAGAACAGTTAATGGTGTAGCTTATGATTCTTTTCAATAAACATGTAATGTTCTGGGTTATTGGCAGATGATGAGTGGAGTGACATCTTGAGAAATTTGCCTTTCGGGGTTCTGGATATAAAGTAACCAATCTCTTTGCCACAATTCTTATTCACTATCAAATGTCTGACGTGCAATATTTTAGGGGGAAATTTAGGAATTATTGAGTAAATGATATCCTATTCATTTTTTTTATAAGGATATCCTATTCAATTTAAGAAGGGAGTTAAATTTTTTCAATTTGCAATTTTTACCGTTAAGATAAAAAATATATACTTGATGGAGATAGATAAATCATTGCAGAAATTTTGGAACTCTATGGTTGATTTTCTAGGTTTGCCTATTTCATTGAAGCTATGAGATTAAATTATCGAAATCAAATGATCTCTGAGGAGTTAAATTACAATCCAAATATTTAATGAAGAATTAAATTCATTGTATCAAAATTGAATTCATAGCAAATGAAGGCATTCATTGAAATTGTTAAAGTCGTGGGGGAAGAAAATGAAAACTATTTCTTTTGTTATGGAATTGGAGGTACACGAAAAACATTTATTTGGAAGGTAACTTGTTTCAACTATAAGTTAATATTTATGACCGGTACTGAAAGTTTTGAAGCTCTCTCATAATATGAGATTGTGCTCGAAAAAATTGTGGGTTTTAATAAGCTATTCATATTGAAGAATTCAGCAAATGGATTTTGCCTATAAGTGATGTAGTGGGATCCAATGTTTTTGGTAACTAATGATCTCAACTCCGGCTTCCTTGAGTATTCCACTTAATACGCCCCTGGGGGTGTATATTATCAAAGTCACGCAGCTAACAACTAAATCGAAGAATCGATTGAGCTCGAATCAAGAACAAAGCGTTCTTAATACGAACTTGGATAAAACGGAACCAAAAGGACGATTCCACACCTGGGGAACGCTCGATTGGTATAGAATGGTAGTTGCTCGACCATGATTGAAGTGACTATTCAATCGATACACAAGCTCAGCAAGTTTGGAATCCACCAAACCCAAAACAAGTTCGCAAACTTGAACAAACCAAACGGTTTATTTTCGATTAATTAACTCTGAATTTTACAATGAAATAGAACGGTATTTAAAGGCAAATAAAACCTAATACAATCCTAATATAACTAGGAAATAATTAAGGTAAAATTCTACACTAAAAAGGACACAAAATTCGGGTTTAAACTCCCTTTCTTCAAGCGCAAGTAAGCTGCCAGCAACAGTCCAAAAGCACCTTTCTGACTCACTCCTACTGTCACTCTAGAAATTGGCCAAGTGCAACCACTTCCTAAAGCGTAGTATAGCGGGTTTGGGTTTTAATGTCAACTCGGGTCCTAGATTTGATGACTACTCGGTGAATTCTTGTTATCTAGCAGTGAAACTTTAGTGCAAGTCCAAATTAACAAACAAACAAAGCAAGTTAAACGGTTGTTTTCAAGTCGAGAGAGGCCCGGATATGGTTCCCCCTAGACTGCAGTTAAGCCGGATTGCAATTTACCAAGTTCAGTTTTCATGAAAGTTATACTGCGGAAGGTTCTTAAACAGTCTGAAGTCTCGACTAAAGGTCTCCAGACCCTCTCAATCTGAGTCTCCAGCGGGCGACTAACCTCCACCGAAGTAAACAGATTGAGGCCCTAACGAACCAAACCTCCACTACCGAATTGAATTCGGTACAGAATAATGAATTGGCTCCTCGACTAAAGTTTCCAATTCACTACCTCCAATTAAGGGTGCTCTATCAACCTAGGCAGATATTCTCTTTCTAGGTTAAAGCAGAAACAACAGGAATTTGATCAGGATTCAAGTCATTCAATCATTCATGCCTCAATCGAATATAATCAACTCATAAGATCTGTACTTGGGTTCATACAATCAGACCTAACATACAAATTTAGGGTTTCCCATACCTAGATGAATGGGGAAACTACTCCATGGAGAGAGAAGCAAAAGCAGATTCAGACGCGGAAATCATACTGTGAAGGATGAGTTTCTGCTCCTGGTTGTCAGTCGGCACTCCTCCAAGCTCAAGCCGGGCTCCAATGGTGATGAAGATCAAGCTATGGCACTTGGGAACTCTGGTTCGTCGCTTTCTCTCTCTAGGAATCGCTTTGTCTCTCTAAAACTCGGAACCCTTGATTTTTAGCCTTCTTTTCCTTTAAAACTGCTGCCTGTCGCGATACCCGGTTGAAATACCCAGTCGGGTATTTTGGGTCTCGACCGGGTATAATGGAAACACGCGTTTTGCCTCAGGGAATAATCCCCGGTCATGGCCAATAATCCCCGAGTGGGGATTTAAGCTTCACGACCAGGACCCCCTCTGTTCCTCAGACGTCCAAAACGATAAATACCTGGTCTCCTCAAAATAATACCCGGCCGGGTATTTCTGGTCATGGCCGGGTATTTTTTTCCTCCAGCGCGCTTCGACCCAAACGAGCTCCCTTCGACCCGTAACTCGTTCCTTCGCCTCGATGCCCACGCTAAGCCCTGAAATGTGACATAAACGCACAATCTAGCGTGAAATCGGCTTAAAACACGAGAATCAACATCTCAAACGGCTCAAGAATAGGGGTAAAAACATGTGTAATTATCGGTCTATCAAACTCCCCCACACTTAACCGTTTGCTTGTCCCCAAGCAAACCTAACTCAAACCAATGCAACTCTTCAGACCTCTATAGCAACAAACAACCCCGATTATAGGTAGAGGATTTCCTAGATCATTTAGCAGCTTACGAGGTCAACCGACGCACAAGTCATCTCATAGCTTCTTCGGCGAGAGCGCTAGTCTTGAGTCGGCATCATGGCAAATAGTGAACAGAGGACAAATGAATCGTGGATGAATGGACTCTCAAAAACAAAAGATCATGGACTCACTTTTTAAGGTGCTCTATTTTCTTCTTGAAGATGGTTGGAACCCCTTTTCTTTCTTTTTTGCTTGTTTTTTTTCTCTCTATTTTTTTCAAAGGTTCCAACCTGTTTTTTCAGAAAATGGGGGCTCCCACCTTGCAGAGGTTTTGCGGGAGCCCGGCTCTTACCGGCCATGCCAGGAGCGGATGTCTCGAGCCTCATGCGGGGGAAAGACATCGACGGACCAGAAGGACCAGAGGAAGACTCGCCTCTCTCTGATCTCCGTCGTGGCCGAAGGTCCCCTGGTGGGGAGAGCGCAGGCTCCGGCTCGTGGCCGAAGGTCTCTCTCATCTCCTTCGTGGCGCTCCAATTTCCCCCGAATCACCGCGCGGAACTGATCCGCGTATTCCGGGTGCAGGCGCAGGCCCTGCACAAACGAATGGTCTAGGGACATGTTCCTGAAAACGCAAGTAGAACTGTAGCTAAGGCTAAAAAATGGGTGAGGGATGCGAGAAGGAGGCCAAAATGGCCCGGGAGGCTCGCCTGAAAGTGGCCGGCGGCGGGGGGCGGCGGCCGGCGGCGGGGGTTGGCGGCGGCGAGGGTTGGCCGCCAGTGGCCAAAAAGAGAGAGGGGAGAGGATTTGGAACGAAGAGGAGAGGAAAATTTTTGGAAAAATGAGGGTAGAGAGAGAAACTGTTCGGGGTTTTGCTTTAAATAGCAAAAATCCCCGGTCGGGGCTCAAAAATACCCGGTCTGGTATTTTTGATTCCACGACCGGGGGTTGTCGACAAATACAGCGTTTAGTGCAACTCAATCCCCGGCCTTGAGCCAAAAATACCCGGTCCGGGGGGGGGGGGGGTTTGAAAACGCTGTGTTCCATCCTGGGAAATCCCCAGCCTTGAACCGAAAATACCCGGTCGGGTATTTTTGGGACAAGGTCGGGGGTTTTCCCTTTTTCACCCCGAGAAATAGAGGGGGTCCCGATCGTGGACCCTCGTTATCCCTTCCTTCGATCGACCAAAAACCCAGAGAAGTTGAACAAAAAGGTTTAGAACCCTAAATGAAACCAAAATCATAAGAATCAACATGCAACCTAACAAACAAGCTTACCTTCGGCGTCCTCCTCGCCGACGACCATTTCGTCGCATTCGTCGCCGATTGACTCACCATCGGGCTCTCTGTTCGTCTCGATCAAGAGGAGAAGAGACCGTGCATTGGACATGGAGGAGAGAGTAGAAGGATCGACAGGAGAAGCGAGAAACGACTTGATTTAGGGTTCCTTGTTTCCTTTTATTGGGTTTTTCTTTTTCGATTGGTTTCCAGGAGATCGAAACAAAAGAGACAGAGCAGAGAAGAAAGTGGAAGCGGCGGAAATGAGCCAGGGTTAGGGTTTGTGTTACTAACCAGTGACCACAATTATATCCTTTGCTCGCTAAAACGACCCCACGCGTTTCCCACCAAAACGACCCGAGGGAGTCCGGACCGCAAATAAAAAATAAATACTCTCCTAAGATCGAACCATCGACTTCAATGTCAAGTTAATTTTTCAGTCAACAGTTTAAACCATTAGGCTTATCGCCTGCCACTTGCACATTTATTAACCTCTTAGGATTTTAAATGTTAAACATTCTTAATACGTAAAATTTAAATGTGATCGAATCTTTAGTTTAGGATTAATTCGATTACTCCTATACCCAAAGGATATCCAACATCCAATCATTGTGAGATAATTTTTTTCTTGCAACGTCAAAATACATATTTTTCCTAAACAACTCTTGTAAAAAAATCATGGTCAATAGATCGTGATAATCGTCACGGTGAAACCCTTTCAAAGGTCATTTATCACTAAATCGCTAAATCGAAACATCATAAATACATTTCCTAAAAACTCAATTTATCAACTAAACAACGATCAATATAACGTGTTGAGATCACTTCTTAAAATCTCTCAATTTAAACGAACTACGTGGACTTTGATCCCGACTAAGTCGGGTACATAGGCAACCAATAGGTCCGAGTCCAACTAAAAAAAACTCTTTCTTTACATTTTACCTCATTGAATCTGATAATTAAATACATCAATAAAGGCGCAAATAATAACACACACAACCTTAAAAGCTTATCGACTTATGTAGTACCCACTTGGGGCGTTGTGGGATGTGAATACACTTCCTCACACGTAACCGTACTCCCGAACCCAGAACTCTAAATTTCGCAGACCAAATCCCGGTTTCGACGCTAAGGTCAAGACCGGGCCAAAAAGGTGTTCGATCCACCCACAAGTACGATCGATGGCGACTCCGAGCAAATCGCGACGGGTACCCCAATTTCGAGGTGCAGTTGCGACACTCATTTCACGGTAACATCGTTACCCTTCCCACTGCTCCATTGAGGACATTGTCGCATTTAAGTGTGTGTGGGGGGGGGGGGTTCTTTGTATTAATTGGAACGTGTGTATGGGTGCTTGGATCCTAGTCCACTATCCAAATCTCGAGATTTGAGGGCTCCAAGCACTGCTGTTTGCTTGATGTTTGATCGTATTGGCACTGTGGATGTGATTAGTGAATTGAATGGCTTTTGACTTGATGCATGACAACTTGAGTGTGACTAAGACAGCCTATTACGATGAATGAGATGTGTAGTAGAGTTGTGTAGGGGTTCAGTTTTCAACTGTTTGCTTACCAACTGCGACTTGAATTTGATCACTTGCTCTTGACAGTCATTTATGCATCTAGTTCAGGGAATCAGAATGTGAGATAGAGCATATAGGTAGCCATGTGAGATTTGAGCCTGCTTGTTTCTTTCTTGTGCGATAGATTCCTCTTCCATGATGTGTAGCATTCACGTTGTCACTAGCTAAGATGATGGAGGCATAGGATTAGCCCACGACCCTTTGAGCCGTGTGTTATTCTTTCTTTCGGTCTGCAATGAAAAATCACCCTTTTGTATCTTTTAGAAGGTTCCACAGAGTGGTTTTTACATGTTTTCTGCTGTTTCTGCTAAATGTAATGTGAGGGTTGGAGGTAGTGCTCAAAAGTTGGGCGTGTGTTTGAAAAATGTGCAGAGGTGGTGGTTCTCTTAAGGAATGAAAAAGAAAAAAACTAAAGAAAAACAAAGAAAAAATGAAAGCAAAAGAGAGCCACCACCAAAAATCTGAATAAGGCCCATTAAGTGGTGTTTCTTAGCAGTCTAGCTTGGAAATGCTAACATTTATATAACCTCCTTCGCTCTTGTGCCCTAAAGAATTTGAGTAATGCAGAATAGCAGAAAGAAAGTTACTGGTTTGCTTGACTGTGATTTTTGTTGGGTTTGGAAATGTGGAACCTTGTGCTATAACTTCCACCACTTAAAAGGCCTTTTCCCCATGTCCAAGACCCTAGCCAGTCAGTTGAACCTGTGTCTAAGATCTCCGGATTAGTTAGTGGTGACACCCCTTTTGTGAGCTCTAGCATTTAGAGGCTGCATTCATGGTGAAGATACGTTAGGGATTGAGAGATTAAGCATGCGCATTTTTCGCATCAAATTGTCCTGACCCCACTGGTCGAGAGTGAGCGATTCATTTTTTCATATTCTCTATACTCTTTACCCCGGTGAGGACCTAGATTGCTCGGTCTTAATTCTGATATCTTGAGCTTTGTGCATGAAGTGACTGTTTTGAACAAGTGGTTGAGTCAAGTCTTTGTTGGTTGGTGAACAGAAGGGAACTCTTCCTTTGCTCGGCTTTATTGCATTCGAATGTCATCTGTGGTGGTTATCTAGGTTGTCGTTCGAGTTGCCATGTGTTAATGATCGAGAGCCAGTATGATCCACATGTTTTGTGTCGATATGATTTGCCCTAAAGCCTGCTTGATTGAAGTGTTTTGAGCTTACCTGGTGTCTGACTTGGTTTGCTTAGGGACAAGCAAACGGTTAAGTGTGGGGGAGTTGGATAACGGTGTAATCGCATGTTTTTATACCCCTATTTATTACCCATTTGCGGGGCATAGTTGTGTGTTTTGGCCTATTTTATGCCGGGTTGTGCTACTTTGTCATATTTCAGGTCCCAGGCGTCGAAGGGAAGGCCAAACACGAGTTTCGGGGCATTTGGAAGTCGTTTGGTCGAGCTAGGACCAAAACACGGGCATGAGGCTTGAAGAACACGACCGTGTACACCAAAGGGCCCGCCAGTGCTTTTACTGCCGAGAGTTGAATGAAGAAAAGAGGAAAATACGGGCGGGGTCAATTCAAAACACGGCCGTGTCCTACTTCAAAACACGCCCGTGTTTTCCCCAGACCGTGGCCGTGTATTTACCACGTGGCAGAGGGCACGGGCGGGCTGGAGCAGAACACGGCCGTGCCCTCGATCGTGTTCTGGCCAGTGATGCCCTTTTAGGCAGATTTCAGCCCAAAAGAGAGGGGGATTCGAGTTTTAGAGAGACAGAGCGATTCCTAGAGAGAGAAAGCGACGAACAAGAGTCTCCAAGTGCCCTAGCTTGATCTTCATCACCATTGGAGCTTGGCTTGAGCTTGCAGGAGTGCCGATCGACGACCAGGAGCAGAAATCCATCCTTCACAGTATGATTTCCGCATCTGAATCTGCTTTTGCTTCTCTCTCCATGGAGTAGTTCTCCCATTCATCTGGGTATGGAGAACCCTAGATTTGTATGTTAGGTCTGATTGTATGAACCCAAGTACAGAGTTTATGAATTGATTATATTCGATTGAGGTTTGAATGATTGAATGACTTGAATCCTGATCAAATTCCTGTTGTTTCTGCTTTAACCTAGAATGAGAATATCTGCCTAGGTTGATAGAGCACCCTTGATTGAAGGTAGGGAATTGGTGACTTTAGTCGAGGAGCCAATTCACTATTCTGTACCGAATTCACTTCGGTAGTGGAGGTTTTGTTCGTTAGGGCCTCTATCTGTTTACTCCGGTGGAGGTTAGTCGCCCGCTAGAGACTCAGATTGAGAGGGTCTGGAGACCTTTAGTCGAGACTTCAGACTGTTTGAGAACCTTCCGCAGTATAACTATCATAGAAATTGAACTTGGTAATTGCAATCCGGCTTAACTGCAGTCTAGGGGGAACCATATCCGGGTGACCTCTCTTAACCTGAAAACAACTGTTTAGTTGCTTTGCTTGCTTGTTAGTTTAGACCTTCACTAAAGTTTCATTGCTAGATAATACGAATTCACTGAGTAGTCATCATATCTAGTACCTGGGTTGACATTAAAACCTAAACCCGCTATACTACGCTTTAGGAAGTGGTTTCACTTGGCCATTTTCTAGAGTGACAGTAGGAGTGAGTCACATACTGACGCTGGGGCTGCTGGAATGGCTGCCCCTGCCTAGGATGGTAGGGCTGCCTCTGCTGGAAACTGTTGGAGGAAAGTCAGTCATGAATCAGAAGAACAAAGGAAAGAAATCTGGGATAGAATGGGTCAGCATTAAAATGAATCATAGAGCAAGGAAAGAAGATATCCTGGGAGCGGAGCAATTCATTGGGAGAACATTTACAGGAAAGAATTCAAAGAAGAGACTTACCATTCCTGAAGCTGCAACGGCTAGTCCCTGAAGAGTATAAGAAGAACTTCTCTGAATCAAGCTAATCACTTTTCGGGAAATCAATCCTGCAAGAAGAGCTAAAGAGTGTAGCTAGTGAGGTTGATACGAAAAGAGAGACTGATTCACTTTCTGGAGAGAATTTGAATTGGGGAGTGTTTGGGACAAACACTGTAGCTGGATAGCTGAGAGAAATCAGGATACTAGAGAACTGATCGATTTCTAGGATTGGATCGATTGAGCTCATTGGTGTAAAAGTGTAAAACAATCAAGCACAGTGAGCTTAGTGCAACGTCGGAAATCACAGCATTGTGATTTTCTGACCGTGGATTAGTCAGAGTTGGGATTACTTTTACCCAGATCTGGAAACCACGTAAAAACTGACGATGTTTCCTTTCTGTTTATTGTGCTTAATCTGTTCCTCTGTTTATGCAAGGTTTCTGAGTTCATTTAGAACAGGGGAAGTAAGTCTCTGAAACTAAACATAGAAGTTGAGAAGGGAAGGTTGAAACGCAGCGGATTAAGAGAAGGTTGAGACGAGAAGTTGTGACGAGAAGGTTGAAACGCAGCGGATAAGGAGAAGGTGTAACTGGGCATCTACGTTTAATAACCGGGCTCTAACCGAAGTTCTCTTGGGATTTATGAGTTAAGCCCAATATTAATTGGAAAGAAGTATTAGAACCCATAGCATCCATTTCCTGTTTGTTTAATCGTGTTTCAGCATTTGCTCGAGGTTTCCTTTGTTCTTCACTGATCTTTGTCCAAAAAGCAGAGTTAGGGTTTCAGGTGGAAGAGGCGATAGGGACGTATTTT